TAGAGCTTCAGCCAACTTTTGCGAGCTCATAAGTAGATCGAACTCAGAGTGCTCCGCTGCAAGGTCGCAATTCAAGCTCTATCCTGTCCGCCCCAAGTTGATGATGTCGAGGTGATGATGGTGAGGTCGCTCAGTGGTTACAGCGCGAATTCACTGACCGGAAGGTCGGTGGTTCGAACCTGACCACCGCATATCAACTTCCCCTGTCTAGGCTTGGGCGACGTGGCAGTATCCCAGTCCTATTGCTTTCTTCGAGTGGCATGGTATTTAGGCACCGAAAGGGTGCTGCCGCTGAACATTTATCTTTATCTTTCTTTATTTGACGATGTCCAAGACAAACTGTTTGAACGATTACGGTTCTCCAGTATGACACTGAAGAAACAATTGTCTATAACAAAGTTTTTGTATACTTCTGGACACAGTGAGAATATGGATGAACGATAATCGGTGATACTTTTTTTGACTGCCGCGCTTCCGTTTGCTTTCCTACTTCACTGTTCTATTTTTCCAGGTATCTACAATAGTAGCTGTAAGCCGCATGATTTAGTGCGACTCGTTTTTGTTCACCAGGTTTCCATTTATACTCATCTCCATCCATAAATTTCAGATTGGTGTCTTGCCTTTTGGGGACGCACTTTCCTGGGCCTGGATGCATTCTACAACGACTGGAATTTCAGTTTGTCGCTCCACGTAAGTCCACGAATTGCTCGATGATTTGCTGTGATTGTGATACTTTCCCTCTCAACTTTTACTGTCATTAACGAAGACCATATATACACTTATAATATTTATCCCAGGCTGAGTCCTACTGGCTCTTTATGTTGCCGTAGCTGGAAGTTGCATTCAGTTTCGAAGATGTCGCATGTGGTGCACCTCTCTGTGGGGTTGGGTCTGCAACAGGGCACAAAAGTTTTCTGGATGTATACACTTGGCTTGTAGAGCCAAGTGATAACCATTTGCGCCATGGGCGATGGATGAGGGTTTCAGATATTGTCTCAGGTATGTGCTATGTGATTCGGAGTGTTGTTAGTATCATCCCACGGGTGTGATGATTTACCACTACACACCGCCCAACACCACTGAAATTCATTGGAGTAGCATGAGTGTGCTCCAGCAGTTGTCGGTCTGTGCTTGTGTGTTTGGTTGCTTCACAGGGATAAACAAGTGAGTACATGACAAACCAAGCAGAAAGCTACTGCGCTTTGTTCAGTAACGGATGAAGAAGTTTGGCTGCGTTGAATGGCAGATGTGAAGTTCGGCTGGAGAGTGGTATAAGCACTCACACTAATTCATCTTCCTTACAGAAACGGTCGCGTTTTTGGGGCGTTTAGTAACTGTGGGTCGTCGGAAGTCCGAACACTGATAGATCAAACTGATAACCAGATGGACTGTCTTGCAAGGTCTTTGTTGTAATGGAACTTGAAAGCTGCCGACCTCTGTCATAGAATGAATCGTTCAGCTGTAACACCCTTTCGGTGCCTAGGTGCCATGCCACCAGAAGGAAGCAGGAGGGCTGGGATACTGCCAGGTTACCCAAGCCTAGACAGGGAAAGTCGAGAGCCGAGGTCGGGCTCGAACCACGGACCTTCCGGTCAGTTAATAGGCGCTCTAACCACTGAGCCATTTCTCCCCCCCTAATGTCATAGTCCTCAGCCACGCAGCGCTCACTGAACAAGGAAGCCTCCTAACAGTTGTTCGTGGATGGAACCTCTTTCGGATCGGCTATCTGATAGAATTAAGGCGGAACCATGGTGCCGGTTTTGCTCCGTCCGACTGCACCAAGGAAGCATTCGACTCGGGATCATTGGGAATCAATCCACATATTGTTTCATAGTGACTAAGACTGATCTTTTGAAACTGTGGCGTGGTCATTAAGAGTCCTTCCTTACCCTGTCATGATTAGAGAAAGACAAAGACGTTTCCACACGGAACCTTATACTCTGCATCGGTCAGTTTCGAAAAATGACAATTTTTTTGTTGCCAACGTAAGGGCATATTGTGGTTGCGGCGCTATGCCATGAGGTTGGTTACCGACTCCTCAGACTGTGCTGTCCGCTTGGATGTCATTATTAACTCGAGATTTTGCTCCGTGACACACCCACGCAGCGGTCACTTTTATCTCGAATGCGTTATCGTTCGGCCGCGAGACGTCAGAGAGGTATAAATCAAAAGACTCGGGCAAGTAGCGACCGATGCCGGTGGTGGTACATGGCACCAAATGGACTGAAGGGGGCTCCCCGAAGGATGCTGATGGCGGCCACGGTCATACTCAGCTGTTGGTGTTGGCTAGGACGCCTTTGTGCCGATTTGAGGAGAACGGAATTCCGAATCAGCTCTTTTATGAATCGATGTTCTACAGATATTGCTACTGGTATCAATGCTTTACAGCGAATCGAGTCAGTCCAATATCGCTGTAGGTTTGTCTTTCCTGATCTAATCATGGTCTCAAGCTCATAGTCTACAAAGTTTTGCAGTTGAGTAACGTGATTTTTTGGTTTGCGCACTGTCTGAATCACATCTATATCCTCCGAACATTTTGTCATGATGCTCGATGGGTAAACTGGTGCTTTCATTTCCCCGATTTTATCAGTTTTTGTTGGAGAGTTGTGCCAAGTGGATGCGGAAGTCACGCACATTTCGGGAACACGTGTAGTTTTTGGGATTCACGCGTTTGCTTTGGAGAGAGACACGGTGAGTGATGTTTGTTACTGCCCATTCGTGTGATTTGCTTTTGCCCATTAGAAGTTGCTAGCTATTTGGCCTTGGAATAAATGACAACAAGAACTTCCGAATATGAAAGCATCGATTTTTCTCTTTTGACACAAGTCACGTTCATTCGGACAGTCTGAGCCATCAGTTGTGGAGTATGTTCATAATTATCTTGATTCCCCTAAAGATCAATGAAACGTTGGATTCCGTAGTTAGCGCTTTGCACAAGCGAGTCTTTTCTTTCGTACTCTCTCTCCTCTCAGAAGCTGCCAATTACATCTTGTCCATACTACTTAAAGTAGTGTAACAACGCTCCTTGTCGTTCCCAAACCTGTCAATGGTGACAGTGCTTCTATGCTCATTTGAGAAGACACAATGCTTTATGCTAATTCACAGCCAAAAGTAGAAGAAGATGATAATATTGTTTTGGTAACTTCGAAGCTGACCGGATGCTTTTAGGGTGGGTGTGTCTGACTCCCGCAACATTCGGACGCTTCGGGACTCCGTATAGTCTATCGATTGCCAACGAACATTCGGTGTACCGAACCAAGATACCAGTTGGTGAAAAGAAGAAGCAACGCACGGTCAAATATTTACTTTATGAATTGGTCCTGACCAAATATTCCGCGATGATAGATTGGCTGCCTACGACCTGCCTCACGACAACATGATTTTCCTTCAATTGGCCGCTGGTTCGGTCATATGCCGTTGCGGAACGCGAATGTTCCCCAACTTGCAGCTAGATGATGAACCTAAGGGAACTAATGCGAAGCACTCTATTTCCTAAGAACCTCTTTCATTCAATACCACAGAAACCTTCTTAGAGGTGATTCTTCAGGAACAATAGACTCTCGCAAACATTCTATTTTACATTAAAGAACACTTATTTAGGAATTGATCGGTGATTAAGATATTTGTCACCATCGTCAAAGGTCGGTTGTTCCAGCATCCATAGGTGGAGTATGTAGGTTGAGCCGAACTTCATCTCTGATGCCAGTTTGCGCTGGGTATCCGAGGTTTTATTAGTTGAACAGTGGTATATTCTCAGGGCACTGTTCTCAGTTGTATTACACACATGGGTGGTATTCTCTCCATGCTATGTCGGAGTAGATACCTTATGGGAAATCAGGCACTGGAGCACTGTTTCATCTGTTGACCTGGTTTTGGGATATCATCCGAATGCAATGAACGTAAGATCGGTCACCCAAAAATCGCTATGCAAATGATATGAATAGGACGTATGCTTCTGAATGCTTTTCGTAATAAACACGATTCTATATTTGGTGCACTCCCGCTGAGAACTCTGGTTCATCGGAGCTTCATGAAACCCAGGAAACAAATGTCAGTGGCTGACATGGCACATATTCTGCAAGCGATTTACTACTCTTAGGATACTGTGCTATCGTCCAATTTCGTTCATTATTGACACCAGTTCTTTGATTCGATTTGTTGGAGCATTTCTGGGTACTTCATGGTAGAGTATATAATCGAAGTTGTTTCTCGAAGAATGTGCAGCACATTAGCAGTTTATAATATCGATTTACTAAGCACACTAGTTTTCAAGCATAAAGACAATAAAGTCGCCGAACCCGAAAAAATATCAACCACCAGTAAAAGAAACGTACGTTCAACAAATACACTCAATGTGGTTTTTATGGTGGAATTAAGTGAATCTCTCGTTTATGATATTCTCCAACTGAATGTGCTGCACAAAGGACGCCTCATGTTTCAGTTGGCACGATATTCGAGATATCGCAGTATATTTTCATAAAGGAAACTACTCACAAGGTTGCTGAGAACTTTTCGACAACCCACAACCGGTTTCGCACTTCTTGGGGCTCATCAGGTAGGCGCAGTCCCCGAGTTTTCGTCGACCTTATGTTTTACTTGTACCCAAATTGGACTGATTATGAGAAATACACTCGTTTGGTTTTCAACTTAGTCTCTCGTTTATGATATTCTTCAACGGAATGTGCTGCACACAAGTCGCCTCATGTTTCAATTGGTACGGTATTCGAGATATCACTGTATATTTTCATGAAGGGAACTACTCACAAAGTTTTTGGAAACTCTTCGACAGCCCATGGCCGGCCTCGCCCTCCTTGGGACTCATCAGAGGAACATCATAAATGAGAGACTCAGCTGGGTTCCAGGTGAGTATTCCATCAAAACCAAACTGGTACACAGATGAGTGTGTAAGGATGATGTGTGTGGTTGGAGACACTACAAGGTATGGCTGCCAACCGATGTCAATGGCGTTCTCGTTGTCAGTTTCTGTCCAGATTGTCTGAGTGAATGTCTGGAGGTGTAGGCACCTCGGAATGATTGTGTTAAGCTAGCACTAAGTCCCTCCCCCATCCACCTTTATTCTCTTCTTTACAATAAGTCTTTCAAATAAGTCATGGTTGTACGGCAGT